AAGAGTGGATACTGATAGAGTCAAGACGTTGTATTAGGCCCTTGCCTTTTTTTAAAAAACTTTATCTTTAATTCAGTGTCTCGGGCTTTTGAGGTTCATTGTATGGCTCTACATTGAGCACCGAATGGACACCTTTGTTTCTGTGTTTTGGACAAGGCTGTGTGAAGGTGTCTTTTTTTTTTTTTACGATTTATTTTATTTTTATTGCAAAGTCAGCTATAAACATAGGAGGAGAGACAGAGAGGAGAGAGAGAGGAAAATCTTCCGTCCAGTGATTAACTCTCCAAGTGACCCCGACGGGCCAGTGCTGCCCCAATCCAAAGCCAGGAACCAGGAATCTCCTCTAGGTCTCCCATATAGGTGGAGTGTCCCAAGGCTTTGGGCCGTCCTCAACTGCCCTCCCAGGCCACAGGCAGAGAGCTGGATGGGAAGTGGAGCTGCTGGGATTAGAACCGGTGCCCATATCGGATCCTGGTGCATTCAGGGCCAGGACTTTAGCCACTAAGCCACACCACCAGGCCCAGATTCTTGCCTTTGTGGTAGCTCCAGAAAGTGTGTTCTCTTATCCTCACTCTGAGTTTGCTAGCCTGCTGTGGCTGCCAAACCAGCTGCAAAGTCTATCTTCCATTAATCACATTTCTGTGGCTACAATGTGAAAACAGTTGAGCCTTTTTTCACCTCATTGTCATTGCAGTTTCCTGCAGTCACCTTCCTCGGGGACAGTTGGACGTCTTACTCAGATTAAAGAACCTTTCACTTAGGCAGTATTGGGGAGCCTGCGTGGTCTTGATCAAATGTTTAAAATTTGGGGCCCAGCATGGTGGCTAGCAGCTAAAGTCCTCACCTTGAAAGCGCCAGGATCCCAGATGAGGTCTGGTTCTAATCCTGGCAGCTCCACTTCCCTTCCAGCTCCCTGCTTGTGGCCTGGGAAAGCAGCCAAGGACGGCCCAAAGCCTTGGGACTCTGCACCTGCATGGGAGACCTGGAGGAACTTCCTGGCTGCTGACTTTGGATCAGCTCAGCTCCAGCCGTTGTTGTCACTTCGCGAGTGAATCATCAGGCGGAAGATCTTCTCTGTCTCTCCTCCTCTTTGTATATCTGACTTTGTAATAAAAATAAATCTTAAAAAAAAAACCCAAATGTTTAAAAATTTGAAACCTAAGGAGCATCTTTCACAAAATGAAGTTATTTAAATTTTTCAGTGCCAAGTGGCATATTGCTTATGACAGTTTTTAGAAATTTAAGATTAGTCAGTATTGCAGTAGTCTTACCAGATGAACTCAATGTGAATAATACAGTTGAAATGTCCAATTCACCTGTTCCTCAAGTGTTACTTTGTCTCCATCTGGAAAAAAATACTCCTCATAGATATCCAGCACACAAACCCTTTTTAGAAGGGTTTTCTATATTTGAGGGTGTGAGGCCGGGCAGTTACATTTAGACTGCCAGTACTGCATGCCAGTTCCCCGAGTGTGCACTGTCCTGAGGCACAGGCCTCTGATGTCCACGGCCATGGCCTGCACAGCACCTGTCACGGTGCCTGGCACCGTCGTGCACTGAGGATGTGTTGAAGGAATGAAGTGTGTGCTGAATTCTGTTGGTTTCCCCAGCGTTCTCTGAAGATAGCCTTTCATTGTCATGGAACTGTGCAGGTGATAGCAACCTCCAGATGTGACAGAAATATCTTCACTGTCATTGAAGTATGACAGTTTCCTTGTAGCTGAGTTGTTGCTTCCTTTGGATCTCGTTAACTGTGACCCAGAAATATTACGTGAGAATTTTCCAGAAATACCCAACTCATGTTTTACCAAAGTTTATGATATGTTGTAATTGTTGTGTTTTATTAGTCATCGTCGTTAACTGTGTGCTACTTAGGTGTATATATAGATGATGACATAGGCTGTGTGGGACTCTCTGCACTCCTGGAGGTCTGAGCTTGTGGCATAGCTTGCGTTTGCCTGAAGGCGTTTAAGGGTCCCTGAGAGTGTTCTGAGACAAGGTTCCTGTAAAGTACAAGTCAGCATTGGCAACGTGAGGAAGACTGCTCTTTTAGAAAGCTTCCTGTGGTTGCTAGGGTGTGCCAGAACCTACCCCGCATCCCCCACCTGTGGGCCCTGTGGCTTACCAGAGCATTTCTTTGGAAGCAGGTCACGATTTCACACTTGCAGCTTTTCCAGTGTGTCTTTATATAGGCACTCAGGATCGGGTTTGTATCTTGGGAAGTCTGGCTGATGGAACAGGACCGAAACACCTGTTACTGAGAGCTGCTTTGGTATGGTGGAGGTCAGAGCAGTTTCTTCAGGGGACTGTGCCAACTGGAGGAAAGCTTTGTAAAGGGTGTGGCACTGCAGGGAAAGGTTTGGGGAATACCTCCCTCCCCAGAAACCTGGCTGCAGGGTTAGTGTGCAGACACTAGGCAAGGCCATCTGCTCTGCTTGGTTCACCAAAAGGCAGGGCTGCCAGAGGGGTGAAGGACACTTGATGGCACGTCCGTCACTCAGCAACTTGCCTTTGATGCAGATCATGTTTTCTTAGGAGAAATTTCCTATACCAGGCATGTAAGATTTTAAAAGTTCCTTTTTTCTGTGTGCTGCATCAGTGCCAATTAAATTTCATAAAATACAATATAAAGGTAGTAATTATGTGAAAATGTATAGTTTTTGCTTATTTCCTAACTTTTTTTTTTTTTGCTAACTGTGCAAATATGACATGCAAGGAAAGTGATGACCTGGACATGGAATTGCTTGTTTAGCTGATGTGTTTCCTTATGTGACCCTGTCAGTAGCCCAAGAGATCCTTTTGAAGGTACTGGCTGCCGCTCACCAGCGTGCAGTGGGACTGGAATTTGAGTCTTGGCACCCTCACTGCGAAGTCTGTGGTTTTTCACACTTTAAATGCTTTGTAATTACTTCTTACAAAATGTTAATTTTGGCATGAACTTTTTAGAAACTTTTTAATCAACTTGTTTTAATTTCAAATGATTACTAAAATGTGTACTTTTAAAAATTGAATAGACATGCAGTTTTTCCTTTAATTCAGTTATAATCTACATTGAGCTCTCATTATAAACCTTGATTATATTACAGAACTTGGCAGGTATCTCCTTGTTTTTGGGTATTAAGCAAAACATGAAAATCTGAGTTGAGTCTTTCGCATCTGTGACAGAAGGCTGAATTGGAGTTTTTCAACAGTTGCTAATCAGCGAGGAGCATTGCAAACACCAGTGCGTTAGTATTCGGGCGCTGAGCTGCACTCCCAGTGCGACCTGCTCTAGCCTCTGCGACGGGTGTTTGCTTTTACGTTAGCTGACATGCTAACAGCATGCCATCTGAACTTCTCTTTCTTGATTTACAAGATTCTGGGAATCTAAAATTTTAAAACTCTGTTTTGCTAAATGAGCAGCAAAAATGGATATATATGATATCTCTTCCAATAGCAGATAACAGGTTATGAGAGAGTCTTGCTGTGTGTGTTTCAAGCATTTGTACATTTCCTTTATTCCACACACAGCTACTGCTGGCTACCTGTGTGCCTAGCCCAGGAAGGGCTACAGCAGGAGCTGGGGTGGGAGGCCGGACTTCGTGGCTTTCCTTGCAGCTTTGAGTTAGAGATACAGGTGTCTCCTACTATTCCTTGATTCCTGGCTGCGTCTGGGTGATAGCAATTGCTAGAGCGATTACTCATGACCTTGTCTTCCTGTGTTTGTTGTATCCCCACAGCACATCTCTTCCAGTTTGTTTCTGGAAATACTGCTGTGGCTTGCTCGGGCTTGTGCTGTATTTGTCCTGGTGTTAGGCACATGCTGGGGGAGCTTTGAGATATGGGCTTGAAGCACAGATGATGAGGCAATTCTGATTTTTTTTTTTTTTCACTGCTGACTCCCAAGGCCTAACCCCATTGCCTGGAGCGTAGGAGCTATCCAGTTGGCATAAAGTCACATGGGTTCAAGTAACCTGAGGTGTAGACTTGAATGGATTCTTTTTGGGTACAGCAATTGAGTACATTTAATTTAGCAGGTGTTTCTGGACTATCACCTTATGCTACAGATCGTGTTAGGCACTAGAGACGCATGTCTCAGCCAAAACCAGTACTTGTGAAAGGCAAGGCAGATTGGCAGAAGGAGTTTTGGAGGGACAGCTATGATTCAGGGAGCTTAGATGAAGAAGCCAAAGGACCTTCCACCCACTGTCTGTGCATCTGCTGACTGCAAGGTGGGGCTCAAACTGGGAGTGGATGGGGCCATTGAAGTCTGCAGGAGGATCTTAGCCAGGTAGAAGGGATTGGTGGTGCCCAGAACTGCCCAGCGTTGAAACACTGTGCAGTCCATAATCAGCTTTGACGAGAGAGAATCTGTGTGGAGAGACCAGCATCTCCTTTGTTGGTGCTGAAACACTAGCTTCCTAGCAGGGACTTGCCATCTTTGAAAAGTTCTTCCATTTAAACCACTTTTAGTTTTAGTAGCTCAAACATCAGAACTGTTAAGAAGAAAGAACATACATAGTCTAGTAGGTTCCTTGGCTGCTTTGGGGAAGGGTGAGGCAAGCATGGCGGTCCTGATGCTGGCTGGGATGGATTTTTGACTGTAGGTGGTAAACGCTTTTCCTTGATCTTTCTGTGTTTCCTGCTCTTTGAAGTGGAGGCACGGAGGGGCTGCTTTCCTCACAGGTCTAGGCAAGACCGTGAGGGTGTGCGTGACATGGACTGTGCCCTGGGCCAGCCAGATATGCACCAGTTGCCACTTCAGTGTTGTCAGTCCAGTTCCTACTGTTGCCAGAAGCTTCTTTGCTTTCCAGGTCTCCTTCTCCCAGAACAGTTGGGACCCCAGGGTGGTGGTGGTGGAGTTTGGGTTGCTTGGCTGAGGACAGGTGGCCTCAGTGGCTGGAGGCAATTATGAGTCCTGTGTGTCCCCTTCTGCTAAAACAGGAAATACAGATTTACTTCTCTGTTAATTTGTTCTGGTATTTGGTGCAGTTAGCTAACTGGAATTGTTGCTCTTCCAGCTCCATGAAAGCGGTTACGATGCTGGCAAGGCCCTGCAGCGCCTGGTGAAGAAGCCGGTGCCCAAGCTGATCGAGAAGGGCTGGACTGAGGAAGAAGTGGTGAGCATGAACCAGTGCAGGCCTGGGTTCTGGGTCACTGAGACTTTTGCTTCTCTTGGCATTGCCCTGCCTGGGCAGAGGCCCTGCTGTGCAGACCAATCAAGGGGGAAGAGTCTTCATGCCTCATAATCGCACCTGAAAGATTAGGCTCCATAGATGGTGGCAGTGATTTTTCCAATTTCATAGGAATAGGAGAAATTGATAACTATTGCTAAAAATTTAATTAGGTCTTATTTTTGTTGAAGTTAGCTTGTGTTTCTTGACTGTTCTGAGATGCAAACAAGTTAAAAATGAATTGCTGTATAACCTATAGTAAGGCTCAGACCTTGTCTTCTTTTGAAGGTTTGCAAGACCCTTAACGAACTGAGTGTAGAATACTGCTCCAGAGCAGGAAGCCTAAGTGTGGTTTAGCGCACAGTGGGTTTACTTCCTCAGCCTCTTGCTGTGCTTTGCCAGCTGAGCGGAGAGGGGAGTGGGCCACCAGAACAGACTTGCCAGTCCATGAATTCCCACACAGCAGACAGGTCTCGTGAAGCTGAAGCCACATCTGCTGTAAGCGGAAGGAACCTCCCCTAAGAGTGCTTGTTGCTCAGAGTAGCTTTGCTGCTGAAGGAAGTGCGGCTGCAGCCACTGACATGCACTCCCCAGTGTGCTGAAAGAAGGTGGGGAAAGTGGAGGTGCTTACTCGGTCTTACTCACTTGGATTTCATTCAGCAGCATTTGTTGAGTGCCTGCTGCATGCCAGGAGCTGCACCTGGAGCACAGAGGACACCACGCCAGCAGGTCCCTCCTGATGGGGTCAGCGTTTAAAGCAGGAATGCCATCTGAAATCATTTTGTGTTGAGTAGAGGTGAAAGGTGGAGGACACTAGAGTAGGATTAGTGGAAGAAGCTCCACTGGCTGGGGGTGCCATCGCATGTGAGGGGAGGGGTGTTGGGAAAGCTTGATGACTTGCGTCTTAGTAAGGTGTTAGTTAGGGAAGGGAACTGTAGAGCATCAGGGAGAAGAAAATTCTGAGCCCACGGTTATGGTTGACACACTCAGGAAACTGAATTTTTAAATGTTTCTTAAACAGCACTTGGGGATTGGCACAGGGGTGCATGGTGTTTGGGGGTCTCTGACCAGGGTGGGGGGGAGACAGGGTTAAGTGTATTTCTGTAGACCACGGAAAAGGCATGGGGATTTTTCTGACAGTGTGGCCCACTCCCCCACTGCTCAGTTGGGTATTGGAAAGGCCAGGCATCGGAACTGGTGGTGAGAACTAGTGAGACCCAGAATGTGTGTTCGATAGAACCAGGAAAGTTTGTTTGTGGAATGGCCATGATGGGTTGAGTGGGGGCAAACCAGGAGACAGCAGAGATGGCCCTCTTGGTTTAGTAACAGAAAGACCATTTTGTAGTCCCCTGAGATTTCCATTTTATGAAATTAAAGATGAAATTAATGCAACTGTTTTGTTGTTGTTGAAAGGCAAAGGTAGAGATGGGGAGATACCTTTGCTCAACTCCCCGGACACATCTAAGAGCCAGGCCCAGGCCAGGCTGAAACCAGAAGGGCAGCATTCAGCCTCCAGCTGCCAACTCCCAGTGCGCACCTTGGTATTAGTAGAAAGCTGGGTTGGAAGCAGACAATGTAACCCAGGTACCCTGATGTGTGATGCAAGCATTCCAGCACCTCCCCTGGTATAGCTATACACACTTAGTAAAGAGATTGACACATTTTAAAGACTTTCTAGCATTTGGAAAGTGACAAAGTAAAACCATTGAGGGTTTTTTTTTCCCTTAAAGATTTATTTATTTATTTGAAAGAGTTACAGAGGAGGAGAGTGAGATCTGATGGTTCACCCCCCACGTGACTACGATGGCTGGGGCTGGCCAGGAGCTTCCTCTGGGTCTACATGTGGTTGGCAAGGGCTTAAGCTTTTGGGCCACCTTCCTGTTCTGCTTTTCTCAGACATTGGCATGGAGCTGAACAAGAGCCAAACGGCATGGTCTTGAACCAGGGTCCGTACTGCATGCCCATGTTGACTGCCGATTTCACCTGCGTCATCACAGTGCCAGATACAACATTCAGTTATTTTGAGATATCATGTTGACACTGTTGTTCACTATAGAAGCATTGATGTGAGAGGGAGATGAGAAATTTAATTTGTAAGATTTTAAAATTCTGCAAAATGGGTCCTGCATGATGGCTCGGTGGCTAAATCTTCGCCTTGCACATGCCAGGATCCTATATGGGGGCTGGTTCCAGTCTGAGCTACTCCTCTTCCCTTCAGCTCCCTGCTTGTGCCCTGGCAAAGTTAGAGGACAGCCCAAAGCCTTGGGCCCTTGCACCTGTGTGGGAGACCTGGAAGAAGCTCCTGGCTCCTAGCTTTTGATTGGCTCAGCTCCAACCCTTGTGGACACTTGGGGAGTGAACCAGCAAGTGGAAGATCTTTCTGTTTCTCATTCTGTCTGTATATCTGCCTTTCCAATTAAAAAAAAATCTTTAAAAAAATCAGCAAAATGCTTTGCTGGAAGAAAGCTACAGAGATAAAAAGAATAGAGCAAGAATGTCAGCCACACTTTCTAAGTTTGCCATCCTGGACGGGCACTGCTGCAGGACCCTGTGCAGGACCGCTGTCCTGGTCCCTGTGCACTGTCACAGCTGCTACCCTGCTTACTGTCCCCAGTTCCTGAGCCTTCTCCCATCTGTCACCTCTGTCCCTCCTGATGGCCCCTCCAGCCCTCCCCCAGACACAGTGCTTCCACCTCTCTCTCCCTTCGTTTTTCCCATGATCTTCATTTCCTCTGGAATTTTTCAAATATACAACACAAAGTCCCCTCTTCCTGCTTAGAAGCAAGCTGTCTCTCTGCTGCAGTCAGCTTGTGTTGTTGGGAAGGATACTGGCTGCCCCCCATGGAGAGGGGGTGGGGCACCTCACACAGCAGGAGTCCCAGTACTTAGACCAGGATAATACTTGACTACATAAATCCATGTCAGTTTGGATGCGTCTTCATCTTGATTTCTTCCTGTTTCTCGCAGTCCTCACCATGCAGAGGGAGGGAGCTGCAGGAAGCACCTGCTGAGTGCATCCACAAAGGGTCCCAGTGAATAGGTTTGTGCTGGAACCGGGCAGCCAGCTCTTTCCCCTACCTGGGTTTGGGTGGTGTCCCTGTGGTCCCCAAGAGTGCTTTCACACTCTCCCCTCCCTGCCAACCCCCAGGAATCACAGGAACATGCAAAACAAATGTGTCCTAACCCCCTTCTTACTCCTCTGTGGAGCATGCTGGTGAGTTGCCCTTGCCTGTCATCTTACCTGCCTTTGCATTCACGGGGACTGCAGCTGCTGCTTCTGTGAGAGCGCTGCTGGGTTGAGCAGCCCGCTGACTGGGGACTCCCTCTCCGGCCCTTTCACGGCTCGGCTCAGTGCTTCTCCCAGCCATGCTGTTTCTGAACTGCATTGTAGTTCTAACCCTTTTGCCTTCACCAACAGCTGGCTCCCTGCAGCCTTTGTTTCTTTGTTTCACCACTAGCAGCCTGCTACTGGTTTTTACTGTAGGTGAGGAAGAATAATGTTGATGACTCTGATGGGGTAGCTGCCCTTGATCTAGCTTCCTTTCTTTTTTCTCTTCCTCCTCCTGTCATTAGAACCAACATAAACACTCAGGCTCTTCTTTCTGGGCCTCCTTCTTCTCTCTCTTTTTTTAAAATTACTTTATTTTGACAATCTTTAGATAGCTGATTAGGACACAAATGGTCAAGGGCTCTTTCCAACCCTGTCTTCCACTTGAACCAATGAGTGTTGCAATCCAGCCTGATTCTGCCCAGCACACCCTTGGGCATCACAAACCAGTGGGAGCTGCAGCCTAGTTGGAGTGACCTGCAATAACCCCCACCAGGCCTGCCCCCTGCCCTGATTTCTGTGCTTGCCAGTGTGTGTAGCAGATTAGTCCAGTCTGTCCCACACACTTCTGGGCCTTCTTTAAAATAACTAATGCCACAGCTGTCAGGTAATAGGGCGGTTCTCACCCCATATTTCCTCTGTAACTCCTTCAACAGTTAGTGTGTATTTAGGTGAACTTGCCTTGGAGCTGAGAGATAGTTCACATTTAAGCTGAAGGCAAATTTGTGCCAGTTGCTACCAAATTCTAACCAGATACTGAAAGTGAATTCTGTGTTCTTGGAGTTACTATGAGAAACATCAGACCCATTCATGAAGCTAATTGGATATCATGGTGTGGTCAAGAGGGAGCCAGGGTCAGTGGCCACGCACTCTCTGGGAGTCAGCTGCTAGATAGCCAGTTTCACTTAGCTTTTTATTTGCTTATTTATTTATTTATTTATTTATTTATTTATTTATTTATTTATTTATTTTTATCGCAAAGTCAGATATGTACAGAGAGGAGGAGAGACAGGAAGATCTTCCATCTGATGATTCACTCTCTAAGTGACAGCAATGGCTGGTATTGCGCCAATCTGAAGCCAGGAGCCAGGGACTTCCTCCAGGTCTCTCACGCGGGTGCAGGGTTCCAAGGCTTTGGGCATCCTCGACTTCTTTCCCAGGCCACAAAGCAGGGAGCTGGATGGGAAGTGGGGCTTCTGGGATTAGAACTCACACTCATGTGGGATCCTGGTGTGTTTAAGGCAAGGGTTTTAGCCACTAGGTCACCATACCGAGCCCTCACTTCACTTTTTAGATTTTATTTTTAAAATTGTTTATATAAATGAGAAGGACACATGCCCATGTGTAGCACCCAACAGGGTAGGGAAGATTGAGACTTGGAGGAAGGTAGGTGTGACTAAGGCTTCCAATTTTTTCTTTTTCCTTTGTATCTAGAGTGGTGAGAGAGTGAGTAGGGGGAAGGGTTAGTATGAGGATAGGACTGCTCCTTGCTGCCAAACTACATCAGAACCTAGGGATGGGAGATGGCCACTGGTGTCATCTCAGAGACCCCAAGATGGGGAACAGTGTTTTGACTTAGTGGTTGATTTCATTGCTCCAGGGTTGGGAAATCTTTTCA